CCAGGCGCGTGCCAGGCTGAATGAGACGGCTGCTGCCCCTGCCACTGCTGTGCTTGCCGCCATTGATGCGACTCTACCTCTCCCTGCTCCTCCCGAGACGGGTGCGAAATAAAGTCATGACGACCCTGGTCAAGCCGGAGGATGGGCGCAGCCAGAGAACGTCCGCCCCATTCCGGTGCCGTGGGCGGTTTCCTGGCCAGGGCTGGCAAGAAGCTTGTTTGCGTCCCATTTTGTGTCGATGATGACGGGGGGGGGTGGAGGGGGTATGTGCTCGGTTCAGGCGCCGGGGGCCTGGTTCGAGCATCCTGTCCATTCAATTTCTTTTCTGCTTCGGCCACAGCCGCCAATAGGACACTATCATCGATGCCTCCGAACAAATCGTCGTCCATGCCGCGTGGGCTGACTTCCTGCCCGAGTTAAAAAAGGAGAAAATGCGTGTGAAGCGTACGCCTATGATGGGTTCCGCGTGACGATAGAGCCAGAGTGGAGCATTTTGCCACCTGAAAAGCAAACGACCTTTTATGCACACACATTATTAAACCATCCGCGTGCGTAAACATGATGCATTTCATCACTCGCGTACTGGGCATTTTTTCATAATGCACAGGGGTTAGCTTAGTACGAAGCACTTCCTTGTATCTGACTCCTTCTTGGGGAGGGGAGGCGCGATGAGGGAGAAAAAAAGAGGGGGGGGCACCTCGGTCATGTCCAAAATAATACCTATTTTCCCGTACACCAATGAATATGGCTCAATTTATCATGTTCGACAACGCTTCCGTCTTTGTCGGCTTAGTGTGTGGCCCTTTTCTGTGTCTAGGGACTGAAACTTGCGCGACTGAAGAAATCGAAGGCGGAGCACGTACAGTCCGCCCCTCTGTCTCCGATCGAGTTTTCGCCTTCAAGAAGCAACGGTGCGCAATACGCCTGCTTCCCCCACGAAACCCACCATGCAAATGAGGACAACGTGACGGATGGTAATAATTGACCAATGGTCACAACCTTGTGCAAGATGACCGGCAAGGCGAGCCCGGGTTGGGGTCGGGGGGTTAGGACTTGGGGGGGGAGCGGAGAGAATTTTGAATTTTAAAAAGTGGCGCGAAAATATGGGCCGAACGTCAACCGCGTTTCGACAAAGCTTTTCCGGTGAGAGGAGGCAACGATCTGCCGACCATCCTGGAATCTCATGTAGATGGCGGTATTGTGGTGGATTTGGGGCTTGCTAGAGGTTTTAATGAAGTGTGATCTTGCTTGACGGCGTTCTCAAACTTGCTTTTCTGTCTATTTCCCCTTGCGTGTCCGCGATATCCGGTGAAAGGGAGCAAGAAACACCTCCTCATCTCCCATCCTTCTCTTCCATAATTTCTCCTCCCATCTCCTTCCTTTCGTGTATTCCTTGTCATGCGGGGAATGTAGATAAAGTACGAAAGCGTGCACACGCAGGAGTAAAGACCCAAGGAACGCCTCCTCAACGTACAACTCCTTCGACCACCCAACTGAAGAAGTCCCACCGAGCATGCGGCGCGGCTCTTCCTTGACTCCTCCTCCAGGGTTGAGAGGACATGAAATCAGTTCCGGAAGATCCAGGTATGTTACGGGCGTCGTCAAGTTGAAAGCGGGAAAACCTGGATGTCTGCGTTGGTCTGTCTAAACTTGTGTCGAAAGCACAGTCCTCACCCTATGACTTGGAGCCACCCTCCACACGCCTAGGCGCACATGTTGCGTCATTATAGCATCTCCTATAAACACGTTTGTCCACTATCTATGTGCTCCTTTGTGCTGTGGTGCATGTTTTGGCATGATTGACGTGTAGGATGCTCGAGAT